TTTTTTTTTCTGTTCAGAAAGCATTTTATTGATGCTCCAACTTTAAGAATGTTCACTGATGATAGAAAATCAAGACATTCACACCGTCTCCCGTACAACCCTGCTCACCTTCTGCATTTTGGATTTTGTAGGCGTGTCCACGTATTTCTCGCCAATACAAACAATCATTCCACCCATGATTGATGGGTCGGTCTTCACCTCCAATTTCAGCTCCTGGCCTTGGAAGCTGTTCAGGACCGTTATCAATTCAGAGAGAGAGGTGTCTACTAAGGGAGATGCAGTGGTGACTGTGTGAGGAACCTCTGCAGGATGGACACGCATGATGGCCGAAATGACTCCCAGGGTGTTCAAGCAACCGTTTTCAGCAAGCAAATTGATCGGGTTGGATGGATGGGAGAAAACTTCTCTTTGGCAGTGACTTTCATAGAACACTTAACACGGGGATTCAGAATTGCAAGGACCACGTTGGGGGTTTTCAGAAGGTGTGCCCCTCTCAGCAACGCCTTTTCGACTTGATCCAGTTTATTTTGTTTAGAATAAACAGTGGTTTTCTACCTTCCTCATGCCTCGACCCTTTCATACAGTTCCTCATGTGGTGGTGACCCCCAAACATAACATTATTTTCGTTGCTACTTCATAACTGTCATTTTGCGACTGTTAACGAATTGGGCGACCTGTGTGAAAGGGTCATTTGACCACCAAAGGAGTCGCGACCCACAGGTTGAGAACCCCTTGTTTAGCTACAGCAGGATAAAGGGCAGTGACATAGCGACCTTCAACACCATGGATTTGAACAGGTGATCTCACAAGCTTAGCAAATAGCTTCATCACAGCATCGCACCTGGGAGAGCCTGGTCTCTGCTGAGCCAACCATCTTCTCCCCAAAAATCTTTTAAGGAGGCAGAAAGCCTTGTAAACCCTGTAGCAGCGCTTGCAAAAGTAAAGTGGATGATACTACCCCCTGGGGAGCACTGGAATGATCCAGGGGGGCTGTAAAAGCAGATACCTGCATTTTATCCTGGATTATGGGCTATAGTATAGGAGTTTTTAATTACCATGAGGGCACTGGGTGACATTGTTTTGTTTGTTTTTGTTGTTTTTTTCTGAAAGGGGAGCTGTAGGTCAAATAAATTTGGGAACCTATGCCCTTAGGGTTTCTGTCCTATAGGGTTATTATGGGTTGGAACAAGCGGCAATGTATTGGTTTTGTGTGTGTGTGTGTGTGTGTGTGTGTGTATACAGTCCCTATCTACAGATAAGAAAGGAGCCTTGGTAGCATAGTGGATTACGAGTTAGGCTACTAACCACAAGGTCAGCAGTTCAGATATGCAGGAGGGGGAAAAAAAGCTGTCTATTTCAATAAAGATTCACAGTCTTGGAAACCCACCGGAGCAGTCCTACCTGGTCCTATAGGGTTGCTGTTTGTCAGAATTGACTAGATGGCAGTGAGAAAGATAAGAATGTTTCTGGAGTGGAGTCTCTGTGGACACAGCTTGTATTTCAGCGCAGGGCAGAGATTAAAGCAAGGAATACCCTGAAGTCTGCCAGGAACAGAACGTAAAGTACCAGGAGGTTTCAGGAGATGAGTCCCTTCTGTTAGAGGTTAAGGTCCCTCCACTCCCCAGCATTGGCTATCAGGGAGCACGGGCCAACACCTTGCCCACACCTAGCATTATTCTCCCTCTAACCCAGGCTCGAGTTGTTAAGAGCGATCAAGTCCGGTCTGACACATGTCGACCCTATGCAACAATGAAATAATGTCCCGTCCTGTACTGTCCTCAGAATTGTTCCTATGTTTGAGCGCCATTGTTGTAGCCCCTGTACCAATCCATCTTGTGCAAGCGCGTCCTCTTTTTCACTGCCCCTCTACATTTCAAGCATAACGTCCTTGTCTGGAGACTGGTCTCTCCTGACAAGTCCAAAGTACGTGAGATGAAGTCTGACCATTCTTGCTTCTAAGAAGCCATCTGGCTGTACTTTTAAGACAGACTTGTTTGTTCTTGTGGCTGTCCATGGCACTTTCAATATTTTTCGCCGGCACCACCATTCAAATGCATCGAATTTTCTTGGGTCCTCCTCATTCCCTGTCTAACATTCGCATGCAGGGGAGGTGATTGAAATTACCAGGGCTTGGGTCAGGCAGGATGAGCCCCCCTCTAACCCGCTTCCCTCACTGCCATCGAGTCAATTCTGACTCATAGCGACCCTCTGGGGCAAAGTAGAACTGCCCCTGTGGGTTTCTGAGGCTAACTCTTTACGGGAGTAGAGAAAGCCTCATCTTTCTGCAGCAGGTGATTTCAAACGGCTGACCTTGCAGCTAGCAACCCACCTGTATGTGACCTACCGCCCCCTTTTCAGGAAAAACCCAAACAAACACAACATTACTCAGCACCCCTCTGGCAATTAAGGTCATTTGTACTACAGCCCATACACCATCCACACTGCAGTGTGGGTGGCTGCTTGTGCCGCCCCTAGGGGGCGGTATGAGCCACGTGGAGAAGCGTCCGCAGCCCGGGGACCTGTCGCCGGCACGCTCATCCAAAGGCGTCCGGCGGGTTTGCAGCAGGAGCCAGCGGGTTTCCAGTCAGTCGGGGAACCCAGGGGGCGGACCTACGCGTCTGTGAGGGACAAGAAATGATTGGCGCGAAGTTGAGCCTATGGAGTCCCGCCAGGCCCGACCTCGGCGTTCCCTCCTCTGAGAGGGCTCGGACCGGGTGTTTGGATGGTTGCTAAGGGAAGGTTGGCGCTACCGGAACCTGAGCGTGATTGGTGAACGTCAGACAAGCTGTAGCCAATGAGAGGCCAGCGGCGTGACTTCGCGTCCAATCAGATACGGGAGGCCGCCTGGGACGTCTCAGTATGTTAATGAAGCAGGGGGAGGCCCTAGAAAACTGTCGACTTGAAGTGGGTCCGGTGAGCCCTGGGAGCGAAGGACGTTGGAATTGCAGTTCCTACTAGCTCCTAAGGAATCGGAAGCGAGGATAAGATTTCAAGGATCCGCCCTCCGTCGGAATGCGATCTGTGATTTTCCCCGCATGTACTGTGCATGGTGCGGTCCGCGTGTTCACGTGAGCCGGCTCCAAGATGGCGGCAGGGGTGGCTGGGTGGGGGGTTGAGGCCGAGGAGTTCGAGGATGCCCCTGATGTGGAACCGCTGGAGCCCACGCTGAGCAATATCATCGAGCAGCGCAGCCTGAAGTGGATCTTCGTCGGGGGCAAGGGCGGCGTGGGCAAGACAACCTGTAGGTGAGGAGGTTGTGCTGGGGGGGGGGTACCGGGAAGACCGGTGGGATGTACCACTGGACGCAGGGGAGCTGGGCCGGGACTTCTGGGCTTTAATCTCCGAAAGTCACCTGGAGCAAATGGACAACACCTCCTGAAGTCATGAGTGCGGACCCCCGCCCTCGGAACTGGACCATCCCCACTGGGGTGCAAGGGCCCCAACCCCGTTGAGCGCGGCGCATGAGATGGGCCGCCGAGAAAAGGAACCCTTAAATGTCCCAATCAACAGCCTACCAGAATGAGCCCGAAGTGGTGACACGGGCACCAAGACTGCCCTTGCTAGGCAGTTGAATCAAGCCGTTCTATGGGGGGCGGGTGTTTCGAGGGTGTGGAAAGGGGACGGGGCACAGATCAGACTGTCCCAGTCAGCTGGACCAAACCAAATTCAACGCACAGGTGGGGGAGGAATCTCGCAAATTATGTTAACCAGGTGGATTGGAGGAGCCCAGCCTGGTGACGTAGTATTTACCCGTTGGGCTCTGGCCCACAAGGTCAGCAGTTGGAAACCACCAGCCCCTCCATCCTGAGCTCAGCAGGGGTTGCCCCGGAACCCCTTAACTTATAGGTGAGGGAGGGAGCCCCAGGTCAGGCCAGGCAGCAGCCTGGACCGACTCTGTCTGCTGAACCTGACTGACCTCTGCTAAGGGCTGAAGCAGGTCCCCCTGCAGAGCTTGAGGTTTGATCTCAGAGTTGCCCGTACTCTCTCCTCCAGGGTCTGCTGACTCCAGTTCCCCACTCCTAGGATGGAGAATCCCACCCTCACTCCCCGCCTTTTCACCTGTCTCTTGCCCAGCTGCAGCCTGGCAGTCCAGTTATCCAAGGGAAGAGAGAGTGTTCTGATCATCTCCACAGACCCCGCCCACAACATCTCCGATGCTTTTGACCAGAAGTTCTCCAAGGTGCCTACCAAGGTCAAAGGCTATGACAACCTCTTCGCCATGGTGAGTGGAGCAGGGCTCAGCACCCTACTTCTGGCCAAGGCCCCCTCAGGTTTCCCAACATCAACTGCCCATGCCATGCCCACCCTGCGTCCTCTGACTTGCCTGATTCCACCTCTTCCTCGGCATACCCCCAGGGAACGAGTGAGCAATATTTGTGGAACAGATATCTGGAGGCCAGAGTGGCGGAATTTAGTGACCAAGAGGAGGGGGAGGAGAAGAGATCGGAGAGGCCAATCAGAGCCGGGTAGTGTTTGACCTTGCAGGTTGTTGTACCCGGCAAGATCAATCACCCCGCTTGATTAATAATCGGAGCCTTTATGAACAGCTGGCTCAAGAGTAGCCGAGAGCCTGGAAAACTCTTGACCCAGGACAAAGAAAGCCCAGGGTTTTTGTAGTTCCAAGTAGTGGGCTGGCTTAAGGGGAGGGATATCCAAGCAGTTATATTCTTATCAAACTGGCAGGGTAGAGGGGGGTTGGGGGGAGCAGCTCAGCTGCAGGTCATCGTTCAAGGTCTAACAGGAGAGTTTACATTTCTTGCCCATTGGGCAGGCAGAGTGCAGAGACATCTTGAGAGAGTCAAGGTCTGTCAGGAGAGCAGGGAGGGGGAAGGGGGACTAGATGCTAGCAGGGGGTTGAAGGCCTTTTATTTACTTATTTTTTTTGGGGGGAGGCCTTTTAAAACCAAATGGAGTTCTTTGTGCTAAGCTAGGTCATGACACAGACCACATGAGCAGTTTCGGTTGATTTGAAGTTTAAAGCTGTTCACTTGATAAGAGACGCAATGCCATGGCCAGATTCATGTTCTGAAAGACTCCTCATCTGCTCTGTGGCTAGTGGGGTGGAAGCAGGGAGCTGAGGAAGAAGGCTGTGGCGGTATGCAGATGAGAGAGGACAGCAGCCCAAACTAGTGTGGTGGGTCAGAATCGGTAGAAAGAAGTGGTCAGATTTGTGCTTTGTTTGGAAACAAAAGCTTCGAGACCGTTTTGCTGATGATCAGGGAGAAGAACTGAAGGAAATCTTCTCATAGGTGTCTCCTGAGCAGCTGGGATACTGAGCAGGTTTAGAAGGAACAAATCAAGAATTCTGTGCTTTCGTGATGGCCCCCCTGGAATCTCAGGTGGAAGGATTGTGAAACTAGCTTAGTGAAGTCTCCCAAGGGTGTTCTTGGGAGACTTGGCAAGACTTGCTAAGCCATGGCAGGATGAGAGAAGGAGGGTCCCAGAAACAAGCTTTAGGAGCAGCAGCATTGGGGACCCAGCAGAAGAGCAGGAGGAGTCAGTGGGGGCGGCCAAGAACATGCAGCCTCAGGGAAAGCCTGAGTGTGGCGTCCTGAGCACCAGGGTGAGATGGGAAGCGTCCGCAGCAGGCGGCGTTGGTCTGCTCTTGGAGCCTGAGGGGGACCGTGGTGCAGCCAGAAGGGACGCCAGCGGTGAGCATGAGTTCAGGTCAGAGGGGGGCATGAGCAGTGACAGAAATGACCTGCCATGGGTGTGAGTGCCATCGGTGAGGGGTGTGACTCGGAGCCAGTGAGTTGGCTTCGCCTTGGTGGTACATGTGGCAGCAGAGTGGTGACCCTTGAACCCCCTCGGAGACAACCATCTCTCTGTGGGTCCACACACACACACAGGAGCCATCCCCTGCCAGGCCCCGTTCTAGGGACTGGGGGCACACAGCAAACACGATGGGGAGGCAGACGGTCAGGATAGCCCTCCCAGCGGGCCACCTTCCTGCTCATGCCCCGCTCTGACCTCAGGCTCCGCAGGCTGCCTTCCCCTCTGTGGGGAGCGCAGCCCTCATCCTGGGTCTACTAGCTCTGGAATCACCGCCCTGTGGGCCTGAACAAACCTGATGAGTTCTCCTACCTTGCTCCCCATCTCCCAGGTATACGCTCACCTGCTGGGGGTGGGGGAGTCCCCCTCTCACCCTGGGATATTCACGCCACTCCTTCTCCCTCCTCGGACCTCTTCTATCTCATTCCACAAGAGTCTTATGGGCCGTGAGGAGAGGCCCAATGGTGAGGACAGAAGGCGGGGTGGGGGTGCTTAGACAGGGGCTCATGGAGGCTCCTGATGAGTAGTGATCGGGAGAAAGCTGAAGATGGGTCATGGGAGCCCCCGAGGAAGCTGGCGCCAGCGGAGGGGACAGCTGGGGAAGAGGCTCCCCGGTGGACTTTGGCTTTCCTTGGGGGCACTGATCCCAGGTTGGAATTTTCTGTCATTTGTGCCTTTGTTTGGCCGTTTGTGTATGTATATACCTGAGTCCCTCCGGCTGGCGGGGTCATGTCCAGGCCTCTGGTTGGTACTCTCTGTGGACTCCCTCTGACCTTGTGCTGAACTGGGGAGGCCCCAGCTATCATCATTGCCGCCCCCCTCTGTCCCCAGGAAATTGACCCCAGCCTTGGTGTGGCCGAGCTGCCCGACGAGTTCTTTGAGGAGGACAACATGCTGAGCATGGGCAAGAAGATGATGCAGGAGGCCATGAGCGCCTTCCCCGGCATCGATGAGGCCATGAGCTACGCCGAGGTCATGAGGTCAGGCCCAGCCCAGGCCGGGGGCGCCCTGGGGCTCAGGCAGAGCGGGCCTGACCCGTGTGTGTGGATGTCCTTGCAGGTTGGTGAAAGGCATGAACTTCTCGGTGGTGGTGTTTGACACAGCCCCCACAGGCCACACGTTGAGGCTGCTCAACTTCCCCACCATCGTCGAGAGGGGCCTGGGCCGCCTCATGCAGATCAAGAACCAGATCAGCCCCTTCATCTCACAGGTAAGCGGGCCCCTGCTCCTCCAGAATCCCCCGAGGCTGAGGGCAGCACCCCACCCCCATCCCCAGCCTCCAGACTGCAGTCACAAAAGGCCCCTTCCCACCCTCCTCGCCCTCAGTCAGGACTTCCCAGTGTGAGGCCTTCACTGTGGGGCTGGGGAGGGGGACAGACTGTCCTACCACCAGAGAGGACTCAGCGTCCCTGGCCTCTGCCCACTAAGTGGCCCTGACGGAGCCTGAGAGCACGTATTCCGGAGCCGGGCTGCTCGGGTTCAGATCCTCTGCACGCAGGACCTGTGTGACCCCGAGCGAGTTAATGCCACCTCTCTGGGCCTCACCTCCTTTCCATCACATGTAGAGTTGACAGCCTCTAACAGCACGTGGGGTCTGTAGGAACAGCTGTACGGCAATAATATATAAAGGTCATAGTAAAGTCATAGAAGATCGGAGAGAAGATAAAATAAAGGAGTCAGACACATTTCATGGCAGCATGCTCACCTAGACGGCCACAATCTCACTAGCCAGGTCCACACAGAGAGATGAGGAGAGGACTCCATTTCTGACCAAGGCCTGTATATCCTTAGGGAGCATGTAAGCCCCCCCTGATTACAGGTGACCACATATGCAGCAGGAAGGGGTTGTACCATAGGCAATACAAGCAATAGGAGGGAGACGATCTAGGGGTGCACAAGCAATAGGAAGGGGAGGGATGAAGGGTACACATATGACAAGATGGGCGGACCGTAGACTCAAATGACACTCCAACCTTGGTCATTCTTGAGTTGCTCGACCTTGTCTCTGGGCTCTTCTTCAGGGAGGCAATCCACCATCCTCATCAGAAGGGAGTGGGCCCTACTTAGGGTGGGACAGACTATAGTCTGATTGGTCTAGATCAGTGGTTCTCAACCTTCCTGATGCCTGGACCCTTTAATACAGTTCCTCATGTTGTGGTGACTCCCAATTCGTTGCTACTTCATAACTAATTTTGCTACTGTTAGGAATCGGGCAACCCCTGTGAAAGGGTTGTTCAACCCCAAAAGGGGTCTGCACCAACAGGTTGAGAACCGCTGCTCTAGATGGCTGATAACCCCCAGGGAGAATAACCTCTTAGCAGCTTGCCTCGACCTCGCAAGTGTCCTCATTTACCATGCATAGCAAGCAGCTTCTTAGGTTTGACATGTATTTGGAGGAGACAACCTGGGGAAAAGCCCTTTTGCATCCCACACACATGAAGATCCCGGGGTGGGCCCATAGTTATCAAGGTCATGATGAGTCCAATGCCCCCTCCCACTCTGTGCCCCTCCCCTGTGGTGTGTGATCCCCCAGGGTGGCTGGACCTCAGGCAGTAACATGCATTGGGTACTTTCTGTGTGCCCAAAGTGTTCTATACTATTCTAGGCAGCTTAACACTTGTCCCCACACTTAGCACACCAGCTCTTGGAGATAAGGTGGACAGGTAGGGAAGCTCAGGCTTTGGGAGTTCAAGCCCCTTGGTCGTGGTCCCTGTGTCCCTCGCCCCTAGAAATGGCAGAGCAGGGATTTGACCCGTTGGGCTCTGGTGGAGGGCCCGTGGTGCCTGTCATCGCTGCCCCCTACCCCAGGGTAGGTAACCAGCTCCCGGTGAGCCATGACCCTCCCACCTCTGCCACAGATGTGCAACATGCTGGGCCTGGGGGACATGAACGCCGACCAGCTGGCCTCCAAGCTGGAGGAGACGCTGCCCGTGATTCGTTCCGTCAGTGAGCAGTTCAAAGACCCTGTAAGCTTAGGGTGCCAGCTGGAGGGGCGGACAGGCAGGGGAGCAAGGCCAGAGCCCCCCTCTCACCGTCCCTTGTGGCCCCCGCAGGAGCAGACCACCTTCATCTGCGTGTGCATCGCCGAGTTCCTCTCGCTGTACGAGACGGAGCGGCTGATCCAGGAGCTGGCCAAGTGCAAGATCGACACCCACAACATCATCGTCAACCAGCTCGTCTTCCCCGACCCCGAGAAGCCCTGCAAGATGTGTGAAGCCCGCCACAAGATCCAGGCCAAGTACCTAGATCAGGTGTGCCCTCAGGCTCTAACCAGGGGGGTCGGGGGGACAGGGAGGGGCCTCTGCCCCTGTGCGTCCCTCCCTGACCCTTTGTCCCATCTTGGAGCCCCTCACCTTTGCCCTAATTCTGGGTTCAGATCTTGGTGAGCCAGGGACTGGGGGTGGGAGGGACTTCCCCTGCCATCCTGAATTTCCTCCCTTCCCCTCCCTATACTCTACTGCCTGTCCCCGCCCCCTGACTGCTGCCTTCTGCCCTGGCCACAGATGGAGGACCTGTATGAAGATTTCCACATCGTCAAGCTGCCGCTGTTACCCCACGAAGTGCGAGGGGCAGACAAGGTCAACACGTTCTCAGCCCTCCTCCTCGAACCCTACAAGCCCCCCAGCACCCAGTAGGGCCACTGCCTGTGCCCCGATGCTGACACTTCAGGCCCACCCCAGGGCAAAGTTTGCACACAGCTGTCATCCCACCCCCTCACCCCCACCCCGAATGGCGCAGTGGGGAGGGGGGGCGATTATTGAGGGAAGGGGTGGAGGTGGGGAGGGGGCCTGTACCCCCTGGTGGGGCTGGGGGTTGCAACGGACCCTCACCTCTCCCCACTTCCTGTATCCTCAATAAAATGATCTTTAACTGCTGAGCATGTTGATGATGGGGTGAGGGTGGCGCCACCGCCAGGTTCAGTTGCACGTAGTGTGCTCTGCACCGCAGTGCAGGGTTACCTGCAGAGGCTGTGCTCAGCCCAGACCTATTGAAAGCATGTGTGTGTGTGGCTGTCTGGGATGGAGGGTGCTGGGCAAGAGGATAGTGGGGGGAGGGAGGGCATCTGTCCCCCAACAGAGGGTCTGGAGCGTGGGAATCCAGTGCTTCCTCAGCAGGCCCCAGGCTGGTAGAGTGGATTAGGCCCACAGCAGGCCCACCACTGCCCATTGTTTGGTTGGGGAATTAATGGGCGTCCTGGGCAGAGGCTTGGCCTGCCAGACTGGGGATTAACTGTCTCCGCCCCCCCGCCCCAGGCCTACCCCATTGGGTAGTCAGTCCCCTCCTGCACTGCCACTGGCTGCAGTGACCAGTGCAAGGGTTATTGAGGGGCTAGGGTCTTGGCTACTGGGGCTCCGCTCCATATCCACATCTGGAGCTCTTCCTGGGACTGGCTGCAGAGCACACCTCCTGCCACCCGAGCTTCGGGCCCCTGGGTCCCTCTGCACCCCAATAAAGCATTGAGGACTCCTGGACAGAGTCATAGGACCAGACCCCCAAGAAAATGCACTGGAAGGCCCCTTTTACCGCCACCCCCAGCCCCATGCCACTGCCTGAACAGTCCTATTCCCCCTGCAGAGACCCAGGACCTGAGTGACCTTGAGCAGGTCAGGTTCCAATCAAGCTGGTTGAGAGGAGCGGGTGGGGGGATGAAAGCGGGTGTCTTGAGGACACCCATGAGTCAGCAGGAGGTGGTGGTGAGGCGTGCCAGGGTGTGTGTGCAAGGGGAACCCGGCCACGAGCCTGGACGTGTCCCCCCTCTAGTCTGCTGTCTGGGTGTGTGCAAGCAGGTGTGGCTCAGGTAAACACACAGTGAAGTATCTTGGTGGCAAAGACCCCGGGGCCAAGCTGGCTGGCTTCAAGTCCTCAGCCTCAGTGTCTCCACCTGACAGCCCACCTTCCTAAACCTGTGAGTCAGGATTCAGTGAGATGATGTAAAAGCCTCAGGACAATGCCAGGCACGTACCCACCAGGAAGCGTTTGTGACTGGCTGTTCGCTGTTATAATTATTGCTAGCCCGGGCAGCCTGCCCCCAGCCCTGCAGGGATCCAGCAGTCAGTGGGGGACACAGTGGAGCTGAGGGAGGGGTTGGGGGGTGTTTAGGAGAGAGGACTAGCTCTCAGTGTGAGGTCACGGGAGAAGACAGGGCTGTGGGTCCACACACAGCTTGCCCCCTACCCAGGTCAGGCAGCTGTCAACCCCACCCAGCACCACCCCCTTGCCCCCTTTTATGGGCCATCCGGCAGCTGGACAGCAGAGGCAGGGGTTTGAGATGGCCGGCCTGGGCTGGTTCCTAATTGCCCCGGGTGGGGCAGACATCTGCCAGACAGGCTAGGAACGCAGTGTCCCAGGCTGCCAGGCTTCTGGGCAGGGCTGTGCAGACATCCGCATTGCTTGTGATGGGGTGGGCACAGAAGTACCCACCCCAGGATGTTAGAGTAGCCAGCCTCTAACAATCGTGGGGGACCGAAGGCGCAACTGTATGGTTATATAAAGATTACAGTAAAGTCATAGGAGAAAGGGTAAAATAAAGGAGTCGGACACATTTCACGGTAGCAAGCTCACCTCAGCCCCTCTTGGTCCATGTGGAGGTGCGGGAGAAGAGATGGGCGAGAGTTTATTTCTAACCAAGGCTTATATATCTTCAGGGAGCGTGTAAGCCCCCTGATAACAGGTAACCACATATGCAACAGGAAGGGGTTGTACCATAGGCAATACAAGCAATGGGAGGGGAGTGATCTAGGGGTATACACAAATAAGGGGAGGGATTAGGGGTACGCATGCGACAAGATGGGTGGACCCATCTCAAGATGGCAGCCTAACTTTGGTCATCCTTGAGTGGGCTCCACCTTGTCTCTGGGCTCTCCTTCAGGGAGGCAACCCACCATCCTTATCAGAAGGGAGTGGGTCCTACTTAGGGTGAACAGACTGATTGCTCTAAGGCGGATAACCCGCAGGGAGAATAACCTCTAAGCGGCTTTCATTGACCTCCAAGTGTACAGTCATTTACCATGTATAGCAAGCAGTGTCTTGGGTTTAGCATCTATATGTGGGGGAGACAAGTTGGGGGGAAATCTTTCTGTATCCCACACCAGGATAGCCCTCCCTGTGCCAGACTCCTGGTCCCCTGCCCACCCCCATGGGTCTGTGCCGGCGAGGTTGCGAGTGGAGATAGTCTGTGGGCGGGAGGAACAAGGGTCCCCTTTGGATGCAGAGTGTGGGGGGTTCAGTTTTAGATCCCCCAAACTTGTGTATTCACTACATTGCTCAGAGTGTCTGAGGGAGCGCTAAGGGTGTACAGAGGGGTGAGTACCCCCGGAGCAGTGAGGGAACCCCAAGACGGGTGTTTCCTGATAAGGGCTTGACTCTAGCTAGAGATGAAGGTTTTCATCGGTCCTGTGGGACCCACTGTGACTCAAGGACTGTGCGGCATGGCCTTGAGAGACAGTGTCACCACCTCCGGTGTCATTGTGCTGGGGAGTTTGGGGAGAAGGGTATGTGACCTCCCCTGGTGGGATGGTGCATAGCGGTGTCCAGGGGAGGCGTTCTGGTGTCTGGGTGTGTAATGCGCTTGGCTGGTTGTGTCAGTTTGTGTGTGTCTTTGTAACATGGGGTGATCCTGGGGGAATGTGAGGCCCCTCCCTTTGTCCCCGCCTGTGTTTCACCGGTGTTGGTGTTTGGACTATCAGTGTGCCTGAGAGCCTGGGCGGTGAGGACACAGCTGCCTCCGTATGTCGGGTTGAGGGACGCTGAACGTGTGGCTGGGTGTATCGGTGTGCACGCGCCTGTGTGGGTCTAGGAGACAGAGGGGAGAGTGATCCTCAAGGATAGACTCTGGCCCTGGGAAAGAGAGGGTCCTGCCCCTCCCCCATGCTCCAAGGTCCCAGGGCCTCCATTGCAGGCGGGAGGCTGACCAGCAGAGAGGCCACGGAGGGGAGGAGGGTGGACCTCTCCCCCTGCCCCAAATAACAAATTGACCGGGCTTTCCTAAACAAAGTTGGAAGCAGCAACTAAGGAGGAGGGCCAGGGAGGGGCTGCCCCCGCCCATTCCCCAGCCCCCTCCAGCTGAGGGCGAGGAGACTCCAGCCAGCCCACCAGGCACAGAAGCTACTTGCCTATCCAGTCCCCAAGTGCCGTCCTCCTCCCAGGTGAGAAGGGGCCAGGCCTGGGAGAGAGGGGCCCAAGCAGGAACTCCGCTCAGTCCTCCGGTGGGTTGAGAGGAGAGGCCTTAGAAGGGCAGAAGGCAGTAAAGAGAGGGAGGGTCTAGGACCCAGGAGGTAATGGGGGAGGGGTGGCATCAGGCGTTTAGTCAGGGTGGAGAAGGCTAGTGAGGGAGAGGGGGGGCTGGGAAGGGGGCAAAGGCAAGGGGGGGGGAACAGGGTTCAGGACTTAGGAATGGTGTTCAGGATAAAGCAAGGGCCTGTACTAGAGCTGGGAGAGTGGAGTCCACCCCAGGGTCAGAGGGGGGACTGCAAGCCGGAATTTCAGGAAGGGGCTCCACAGAACCCGGAGCCCCAAAACGAGGAGCTGGGAGAGGGCAGCTGGGCAGGAAATCTCTAGATGGGGTCCTGTGGGGTGCCCAGACTTGGTTAGAGAGCGACCCTGCGACTGAGCACGTAGATCCTAGGGTCTGGAGGAGATAGGGTGGCAGGCAAGCTGGGAGAAGTGGGCGCTGGACTGTGGGAACAGGAGCCAGGGGGTGGGGCAGCTTGCCACCAGAGGAGGACGGGGCATGGTGGGCGGGGCGCAGAGGACCCGACGCTCGACCCACCCGCATCTCTGCAGACACCCCCAGCCCCACGCCGCTCCGGTTCATCAGCGATGACGGTCACGTACACAGCCCGCGTGGCCAACACACGCTTCGGCGGGTTCTCGCAGCTCCTGCTGCTCTGGCGCGGGAGCATCTACAAGCTGCTGTGGCGGGAACTGCTCTGCTTCCTGGGCCTCTACCTGGCGCTGAGCGGCGCCTACCGGTGAGCGGCCCCCGGGTCGCAGGGCGCAGGGAGGGGAGGGGGCGCTCTGCCGCTGCGAAGGGGACCCTCCTCTGACCCGCGCCCTTACCTTGCAGCTTTGTGCTGAACGAAGAGCAGAAGCGCTACTTTGAGAAACTCGTCCTTTACTGCGACCAGTACGCCAGCCTCATCCCGGTCTCCTTCGTCCTCGGTGCAGCCACCCCTCCCCTTCCTTCATCTCCCGCCTCCCGGAGACCCTCAGTTCCACTTAATTCTTAGGGGAGCCCGTTCCCGTCTGGGTCCCGATGCCCTGGGTGGCGCCTGATCAGACCCGTCCTCCGGAAGGGTCCCCCTGTCCCTAGACTCTGATAGAGCGATTCTCAACCTGTAGGTTGCCAACCCTTTGGGGGTCGAAGGCCCCTTTCACAGGGGTCGCCCGATTCATCACAGTAGCAAAATGACCGTGATGAAGTCTCAACGAAAATAATTGTATCGTTGGGGGGTCACCACCATATGAGGAACTGTATTAAAGCGTCGCAGCATTAGGAAGGTTGAGATTAGAGCCGGATCTGTCTCTAACTGCACGGTGTCCTTGCTCAGGGCTGCAGGGACAAGCCTGCCCAGGTGTCCTTGTGTACAGGCTCACAAACTGGCACCCCTCTCCACGTCCTGGCCGGTCCCGCGTGACTCCCTGTGTCTGGGAGGACCACCTGTCCATATGCCCCTCGCACTAACACAGGCCCTTCATCTCCATCTCCAAACCAAGACCTGAATCCCCACCCCAGGTGACTCCCAAGTAGCCAATGCGACCCAGTTGGCTATGCCCAGGTGTCTTCTCAGATCTGGGCTCTCCAAACTCCTCCTCCGCAAGTGGCCTTTAATAGGAAGCCCCTCCTCTCGCCCGCCCCTGGCCCCCTTTCCCCCCAGCCACCGGGTCAGATCGGATCCCTGCTAAGTGGCCCATCTGCTGCTCTCGCCCGCAGGCTTCTACGTGACGCTGGTGGTGCACCGTTGGTGGGACCAGTACCGGTGCATGCCGCTCCCCGACGCACTCATGTGCGTCGTGGTGGGCACAGTGCACGGGCGGGACGAGCGCGGGCGCCTCTACCGACGCACGCTGATGCGCTACGCTGGGCTCTCCGCGGTGCTCATCCTGCGCTCTGTCAGCACCGCTGTCTTCAAGCGCTTCCCCACCGTGGACCACGTGGTGGAGGCTGGTGAGGCTCGGCCAGAGGTGGGGTGTGGTGTGGCTGGGGAGAGGGTAGGGTGGAGGAAAGCTGGTCGTTGGAAGGAAAAACCACCCCCGCTCCCGCCCCTCCAGGGTTTATGACCCGTGAAGAGCGAAAGAAGTTCGAGAACCTCAACTCGCCGTACAACAAGTTTTGGGTGCCCTGTGTCTGGTTCTGCAACCTGGCGGCACAGGCCCGGCGGGAGGGACGCATCCGGGACAACAGCGCCCTCAAACTGCTGCTGGAGGTGAGCTTCCCCAAGGTTTGTGGCGGGGTGAGGAGATGCATGTAGGGAAAAAACTGTGTCCCTGGAGTGGGGGCCAGACGGCAGCCGTGCCTTGTGCGTCCAAGGTGGAAGATTCCAGACAGCCTCTAGAGCAGGGTCTAGGCATGGTGGCCCCCAGGCCGGGCGCTCATTCACAGCCACGCACTCTCCCTGGTACCCCCAGAAGTACAATACTTTGTTCTGCCACCAGATGTAGACACACCTCCATCCCGGCTACTCACGTCCATTCTCTCAGTCATCACCTGTATCTGTCACCAGGAGCTGAATCTGTTCCGGGCCAAGTGTGGGATGCTTTTTCACTACGACTGGATTAGCGTCCCCCTAGTCTACACCCAGGTAACCCCTCCCCCAGTGGCACAGGGAAACTGAGAGCCATTGCAGTGACGCCCTGCCCCAGTCTGGGTCTCACCATGGCCCTGAGGCTGGGAGGACACTGACCTGGTGGCCTGCCCTGCTCCCAGGTGGTGACCATCGCAGTGTACAGCTACTTCCTGGCCTGCCTCATCGGTCGTCAGTTCCTGGACCCAGCCCAGGGTTACAAAGGCCACGACCTGGACCTGTTCGTGCCCATCTTCACTCTGCTGCAGTTCTTCTTCTACGCAGGCTGGCTCAAGGTGGGTGGGGCCAGCGGGCCAGCAGGGGTGCTCTAGGCCCCGCCTCCCCCCACACCCACACCCCACCAACCTCCAACCACGCTCAATTTGTCAGGTAGCAGAGCAGCTCATCAACCCTTTCGGAGAGGATGACGACGACTTTGAGACCAATTTTCTGATCGACCGTAACTTCCAGGTGAGACTCTCGCCGCCCTTGGCCATCCCTGGCTCCAAAGACGGCCAACTGCTGACCCCATCCCCGCCAAGAAGGGCCTAAGCCATCTTTCTTCTGCCTTTGGTTACCGAACTCTCACCCCTTGCACGAGGGGTCCCCCGTGGCTCTGGTGCTGTGTCAATCCACCTCCATCTGCATGTCTGCACCCGCAGGTGTCGATGTTAGCCGTGGACGAGATGTACGATGACCTGGCCATGCTGGAGAAGGACCTGTACTGGGACGCCTCCGAGGCTCGCGCCCCCTACACAGCGGCCACCGCCTTCCTGCTGCAGCAGCCCTCCTTCCTGGGCTCCACCTTTGACATCACGTGAGTCACCAGAGCTCCTGGCTCTGAGGACGTGTCCGTCTGAATGGACGGTAGGAGATGAGGACAGGGCTAAGGGCTAAATCTTATGCGGACGGAGACTGTCAGGATTAGAGGGACAGGGCTTGAGCTAGGCGTCAGGGCCCACGTGTCGAGGTCATGTGTTGTGGCAGGGCTAAGATTTGAGGATGGCGTTGGTGAGAGTCCAAAGGCGATGGGAGCAAGCCACCGGCAAAATGTTGGGGCTAGGTGTGAGCAGAGCCCTAGGACAAGGCCTGGCTTTGGTGTGCGGAGTGAAGTCTTTGGATAGACAGATGATTGATAGATAGATAGATAGATAGATAGATAGATAGATAGATAGATAGATAGACGGATGATAGATAGACAGACAGACGGACAGATGATTGATAGATAGATAGATGATAGATGGATGGATGGATGGATAGACAGATGATAGATAGATAGATAGATAGATAGATAGATAGATAGATAGATAGATAGATAGATAGATA